TATAGCCAGACCCCAGGAAATTTCATTGAAACTTTAGATATAGAGTTGTGGGGCCTCAGGTTTTGGAGGCCATGTGGACCAGGAACCAGACATACGTGATTGTGGTTCTAATCCTTTTTGGTGTGTGCTCTTATCCTGAGTCTCATTTTTCCCATGTGTAACATAGAGGCAGAACTTTTGAGATTAGTTGAGCATATGGATGTGAAAACACTTTGAAAACTGGCAAAGGGATGGGGATAGATTATTGAGTCATAGTAATAATGATGATGCTAACTAACAGATCGTAGCAGCCTGGAGCCAGGCCCCTGAAACTCATGGAAAGAGCAGGACAAAGTAACTCTTGGATAGGCACAAATTTCCCTCTCTGAATGTAGAATTTCCAAGGCTAGCCTCACATTCAAGGGTGCTTCAAGGAATGTGTGGCTTGCTAGAGAGTGGCTCAACCCAGTCCACAGGAGGGGAGTCTGAGGCCTAGGAAGTGAGCAGGCCTCTCCTGAGCTGCAGATCTGAGAACAAGAGCCCTATTGGACTGGAGCCATTATAGCCGTGGTTTTCCCCTCTTTTGGATGGGAGCAGCTTGCTGCTGGGGCCCAAGAGACCAGGAATCAGGAAGCTCCCCTCATTGTGGTACAGTGGAGCCTAAGGTCCCCAGGCCCCCATGAGCCCCCCTCCTAGGCCAGCCTCTCTCCCCTCCCTGGCCCAAGTCCTCCCACATTCCTCCGGGCAACAGGAAACCCAGCTGCAGCCCAGACTTCAAACAGCTCCTCCCTCTGGGGCAGGAGGTGTGGGAGGAGAGGCCAGGGGCCAGAGGGCAAAGGTCAGCTTTGTTCCTACCAGAGGTGGTGAGGGACCTGGGGAAGACAGAGGGGGCAGGGTAGAGTCCTTGGCAGCTACACTGCATGTGTGTGAATTCCTGAGTCCATCAGTGTGCAGGGCCCTGGCTGTCTGCCTGTGTCTGGGGATAAAAGTGCTTTTGGTTCGCTTCCCATTCTTGAACCTGAGTTCGAGGTCCTGACTGTGAGTCCGTACTTGTCTGTAGATACTCAGCCTGGGTCCTCAGTAATGTATCTCTAGATGTCATCAAACATACTGATTTACCTGGTCAAAGCTGTGTGTTCGTCTGTGAGTGTGACCTGGTGTGATTTTCTGTGTCCAAAACAGTGTCCTCTCTTGACTCTCCTCTTCTCCTTCCTTCATAGTAGTCGCCAGAAGGTTCCTTCTGAAAAGTGATTCTGACCTTGTTACCCCCCATTCAATACCTACGGTGGCTTCCAATTGCCCGAGGCTTACCATGGCAGCCAAGTTCATGGCTAACTAGACTCCTTTCTCCATCACTATCTTTATTTTTAGCTATTGCTCTCCTTGAGGTTTTGTTTTTGTTTTTTTGTACTGGGGATTGAACCCAGGGCCATCACACTGAGGTGCATCCCCCACCTATTAAATTTTATTTTGAGGCAAAGTCTCGCTAAGTTACTAAATTGCCCAGGCTGGGCTTGGACTAGTAATCCTCCTGCTTCAAACTCCCAGAGTGCTGGCATTGCGGGGTATGCACAACCATGCCTGAGGCTCTCCTCAAAAGGTTTTACATTTTTTATTTGTATTAGTACATGTTTGCAGTACATAATGATGACATTCATCATGAGGAGTTGGTACATGTACGTAACACATCTTAATTCTTTTCATATCCCCTTTCCCATTCCCTCAAATTTTATCCTCGTTATATCTACCTAATTGTAACTCTCTTTGGTCCCATTTCCTGCCTCTGAGCTCACTCAATTCTGTCTAGTCTGGAATGTAATCTCCCCCCCACCCCACCCCCACTGGGGCTTGAACCCAAGGCCTCATATTGAGCCTTTGTCATTTCAAAATTTTGAGACAAGTTCTCCCCAGTTGGCCCAGGACGTCCTTCAATTTACAATTCTCCTGCTTCAGCCTCTCAGAGTGCTGAGTGCTGGGATTATAAGTATGCACCACCATATCCGGTTCCTTTTTTTTTTTTCTTACAAGGTGTCGTTAAATTGCACAGGTTGACCTCAAAAATTTTTAAATCTTTTCTATGGAAGCAACCCAAGAAGCTTCCAGACACTGCTACCAGCCCCGTTCTCCCCCACACCCCGTATTATCGTTTTCCGATTGTCTGTCTCCAGAACACCCATCACCATTAAACTGTCTGCTTTCTGAGAGCAGGAAATGTGCTGTATTTTTCGTCCTGGGACTTTCCTGAAAGGACTTGGCCCTCCCGTCCCAGGGGAAAGTTTTCGGCACTTTGGGATGTACTATCGAAATTATCCACTAGAGGGAGTATGAACATCACTACTGGACAGTCTTGGAAGGCCGTGTGTGTGTGTGCGTGTGTGTGTGTGTGTGTGTGTGTGTGTGTGTGTGTGTGTGTGTGTGTGTGTGTGTAATAATAGAGGGTGGGTGGGAGGAGAGAGACTTCTATTCTGACCTGGGAGACAATTACTGGAGGGATAAAAGACCCACCCAGCTCAGTTATGGAGTGGTGGGAGTATATCAGGAGGCACCCCCACCCCAGTTTCTTCCTTCTGACTTTCGTCCACATCTCAGAGCCACATATGCCTTCATATTCCCCCTTTACTCTAGCTTCTCACCCTGTAATCTTATTCCATGCCTCATCTGCACCCTCCGTCTTCTCATACCTCATTATTTGCACTTTCCTGAGTGAGCCTTGTTCTACTATCCTCTGGGCCTTTCCACATGCTGTTCCCTCAGCCAGAGATGACCTTACCAGACAGGCTTCTTTCACATATTCCAAGAAATTGCCCTTGGTGTCTGGGCTGATAGTACCCCAGTGTCGTAATTGCTCACTATTTTTTTTTTTAATTTTTTGAGACAGGATCTCACTATCTTCCATGCTGGCTTTGACTTTACTGTGTAGTGCAGGCTGGCCTTGAGCTCCCTACCCTCCTGCTTCATTCAGAAGCCTTCTGAGTGCCGGGATTACAGGCGTGTGCCACCACACCAGGCTACTTGTTTGCTGGTTCTTTTCTCCTGGACAGGACTGGCCTATGGGAGATGTCAGTAAACGTGTTTGAAATTAATGAAAGATTTCAATCTTGTATTGAGTACAATACTCAATGTACAGGGCAACCTCAGGCCCTATTTGCACCGTGCCCTCCTGGGCCTGCTTCTGGGTCCGTATGATGCTTTCCCATGCTGCTTTATCAAATAAAGGAATGCGACATTGTGGCGTGAGTCTTCGTGAGTTCAAATCCAGCTGTATGACCATGGGCAAGTGTTGGAGCCTCTGAGTCTTCACTTCCTTTTTTTGTAAAATGGTGATAATTTCACTTCTGCAGTGCCTCGTGGTGAAGATCAAATTAGACCATGCATGCAATACACCCAGCATTAGTCAATTAGGTGCCTCCTCCCCGAGCATGAACTTGGAAATCAAATTGCCCTCTGAGCCTTAAGCCAGTAAAACCCATGCATCGAGAAGGAGAGGAGCCAGGTGGGGGAGTGAATGAGGCGAGAGATGGTTTTGTAAACGACTGAAGAGTTTTGTGAACGGTGCAAACCTGCAAACCGCAATCAAGGTGACCCGCCTGTAATCTCAGGGAGGCAGGGCTAGGATGTGATTGAAATTGAGAAAGCAGGAGCCTAATCAATTGCATTGTGCTCTATCTGAAGGGAACAGAAGGCTGCACTGAAATGGGGTGCAAGGGAAATTCATTCAGCAGCTCCAGGGGGAGAGATGGGGAGCCAGGAGGCACAGGGAGGCTTTGGTCTTCTGAGGAGCAGTAAGGAGCCTGATGAACTCCACATGTTCCTCATATAATGATGCTCAGCTGCCCTGCTGAGCCTTTGCTGAGACCACCCGGGCATCCAGGTAGCAGGCAGGGCCCAGGAAGGCAGATGAGAATATTCCGCTTCCTGGAAAAGGGTATAGTGACTAAGAGCACTGATTTGGGGGCCAGATTTGGTTTAAGCCCCTGTGCTTCCACTTATGCCCTGTAAACCTTGAAAATGTGGATCTCCTTTACTGTAACTATTTCACTATTAGCAAAATGAAGGCAGAACAGCTTTCTCTTCCCTCTGTGAGGATGAAATGGCTCACACATTTTGTAAACAGTAGGGACAAAGAGAGCTAACATGTACTGAACATTTTATTGCTACTTCACAGATAAGCACATTGAGGCTTGGAGAGATTAATAACTAACAAAATCATACAGCCAGGGTATAGTAAAAACAGGATCCACACCAGGCACTACAAGAGCTGTGCCCTTAGCTACCAACTCTGTGGCAGGTAGGAGCACAGGTCTCTGAAGTATATAGCAGGCTCTTGTGAGTTTGGTTGTCCAGAAACTATGGGCCCCAGGAAGCTTTGGCTCCTGAGAATTTGCAGAGCTGTGGCTCCCATTCCTACAATAACCAGTCTGAGCAGATATTTGCAGACTCCATCTTTTGCTCCCACTTTAATAGCCTCCAGCACGAGGCTGGGCACAGGGAATCCTCAGTCTGCACTGACTGGCTTATCACTGTTTCTTTAGGCCTCTTGATTGCAGAGGATTCCCAGGGAATCTTTCTGCCAATAACTACTACACAGACAAGGAACACAGAGTATGTGCAGGCATACACGCACATGCATGTACGCACGCACACAGCAAAGATACTCTCTCCCCAAAGCCTCAAGGCAATGAGATTGAGTGGGAACACTGGGCTTTGGTGGCTGTGTCACATACAGCTCTGTGACACTGTTGCATTATGAAACCCCTCAGCCTCAGTTTTCTCTCCTACCAAAGGGGCTGATCATACAAGCAAATTCAAGACTGGATTAAAAAAATTTTTTTTAAAAAAAGGGTGCAGGCCGGGCGTGGTGGCCCACACCTGTAATCCCAGCACTCGAGAGGCTGAGGCAGGAGGATCGCTGGGAGTTCGAGGCCAGCCTGCGCTACATAGTGAGTTCCAGGTCAGTTTCAACTACATAATGAGACCCTGTCTCAAAAAACCAAAAAACAAAAACTGAAAAAACAAAAAAACCACACCAAAAATTAAAAAAAGGATGCAAACACATCTGACATTCAGCAGACAATAAATAAGTTGTTATTCTTATGACTATTATTTGTTCCCAGCCCAGGTAAACTCCCCAAGGCAGGGACAGATCTTATTCATATCTGTGTTCCAGCCCTCCTGCTCAGCAAAGGGCCCACCACAGAATCTATGCCTAGGAACTGTTTGCCAAATGCAACATCCATTCTGAGCTCCCAGATTCCTTCCCCATCCACTCTCTTCATAAGTCCCAGGGCCAACAAACACTTCCTAAAGAGAGAGGTGGGAGCCGGGCGTGGTGGCGCACGCCTGTAATCCCAGTACTCCCGAGGCTGAGGCAGGAGGATTGCTGTGAGTTCAGACCAGCCTGGGCTACATAGTGAGTTCAGCCTCCACTACCTATCCACTACCTGAGACCCTATCTCAAAAAACAAAACAATACAAAAATATCCTAATTCCAGCAAGTAGGAGGCTGTGGTCACAGTAACAAACAAAACTGCTTCCAAACTGTTCCAAAAGTTCCCTGGGGGAAGAACTCCCCTGGTGAGACCCACTGAGCTAGATGAGTCTTCCCCCACCCACTTCCTCTGCAGAGCCAGCTGTTGTCTTTTCCTCTGCCTCTGCTGAGAGAGCCCAAAAGGCTGTCCCAACATGCCTATGACGACTGGTAAATCTGCTGAAATCAGGTGAAGCATCAGCAAATCCATTGTGCACGGACTGAAAGCCACATCGACAACGAGGGGGACATTTTGATTTATGTCCAGTTGCTTGTCCTTTGTGTCCACCTTTCAAGTCATCCTAAATTCACATGGGGATGGTCAATGAACTTTAGGGTGTCATCCTAAAACTCCATACCTTCTGTGTCCCATGCTTGGTAGGCATCAGAGCACTCTCTCACCTTCCCGTCTTGCTCCCAATGACCAAACCCATTCTGTACACCTCCCAGCAACCACCATCCCCCCCACTTCTTTTTGGTACCAGGGATCCAACTAAAATCCTTGCGCTTGCAAGGCAGGCGGCAGAACCACTGAGCTAAATCCCCAGCCCTACCACCATCCCTCTTAAAGGAAGGTTCAGGTAATTTTCATGGTTCAAGGAATCATACTGTTATTTTCCTCATTTACACAATCAGTAAACACACACTGTTCAGAGAGGTGCTGAACCCAAATCTGGGCCGGGACCACAGCTTCCCAGCCAGCAGGAAAGGGGTCCAGCGAAGGCTGCCCATCTTTGCAACTTACAGGCACGAGAGAACTGAGAGTAGGAGGTAAATTCTTAAGCAGGGATAGAAGATAAGTGAGGGAAGGGATATACCATTTTATAAATAACTAGACAAATAACTAGACAATGACTAGACAATACAAGCATTTTGGGGAGGCAGGGCAAGAGAGGCTAGAGGCACACATGCCTGAGTTGAGAAGAGGAGAAACAGTGCTTGGGGTCAGAGTGGATGAGAGATGCTCTATAACATCCATTTCCTCCATCTGTAAATGAGTGGGTTGTCCTAGATTTAGACTTAAGAGGGAAGGGGAGCAACAGTGCTAAGGGTCAGAGTGGCTGAGGGATGAGTTCTTAGCCTCCATTTGCCCATCTGTCAAACAAGGGGGTTGCCCTAGATGGGGCCAGAGCACTTGGTCTCCTCTGACATACTAGCACTCTGTGTGGTTCTATACCTGGGGACTTTGGCACCGGAGCCCTGGGGACTGGCAAGGGCTGGTAGGCTCCTCCTAAGAGGTGGCTGATGGCTCTCTGAGCTATGTCTCATCCCCAGGCTGGTACTGCGGCTCTGTGGAGGTAAAGTAGTCTTCCAGGAAGGACTGCAGAAACTCGAAAGTGGGTCTCTCCTCCGGGTCCAGCCGCCAGGTCTGTTCCATGGCCTCGTACAGGGACACTGGGCAGCCCGGGGGACACGGCATGTGGTAGCCACGTTCCACCTGTTCCAGCACTTCCCGGTTAATCATACCTGGTGGGTGGGGCTCCATCAGTCAGGGGCCCGGCCCATCCCAAGAGGGCAACCTGGAGAAACCCTTCCCCATGGCCACCCCCAAGCCCTGACACACCTGGGTAGGGGACTCGGCCCTTGGTGATGATTTCAGTAAGCAGGATCCCAAAGGACCACACGTCTGACTTGATGGTGAATCTGCCAAAGAGGGCAGCCTCTGGGGCTGTCCACTTGATGGGGAACTTTGTCCCTGAAGAGGTAGGGGAAGAAAGGAAAGTTAGTGGTGGTGGTGGGTCTCCCTGCGAACTGCTGGATTAAAAGAATGGGGCTTGAAGAATTGGGGATCTTGGGGATCCTGAGCAGAGGTTTCTGGGTATAGCAGAAAGGACCTGGTGTAGATATCACTTGTCATGTGTCTAATCGTTTTCTTTTGGAGCATTAGGGATTTGGGCCACAGGCCTTGCATATGGTGGGCAAATGCTCTACCACTGGGCTATGCTCTCTGTTTTATGTGCTATAACTTAACTCATTGAGCCCTCCTCCAAACCCCCAGAGGTAGATACTCTTAGACCTCTCATCTTACAGCTGAGGAAAAGAAAGCCCTGAATAAGGTAACTTGCCCAGCTTACACAGCCAGCAGGTGGCTAGTATTCATACCAAGCATTGTGGCTACAGAGATCACACTATTATGCCCTATTGTCTCTCCTTTAAGAATTACAGCAAAGGGGAGGAGGGGGTGAAGGGAGGGCAGGGACAAGGGGAAAAAATGAGAACCAAGACCTGTCATGTAAAGGTACCAGATCCCAATAATGAATGTAACTGTACCGTATACCTAAAATGTACCAATAAACTCAATTTAAAAGAAAAGAATCACGGCAAAGTGGGCATGGTGGTTCATGCTTGTCATCCCAGCACTAGGGAGGATGAGGCAGGAGAATAGCAAAGTTTGAGTCCTGCCTGGGCAACTTAGCAAGACCCTATCTGGAACCAGGGATGTGATTCAGCAATTGATCCCAAGTACTACAAAATAGAAAAAGATAAAAAAAGAAATCATAGCAGTGGCTGGCATGTAGTAGTTGCTTAATAAGTACCTGTTGACCTATTGAATACTTTCATCGTACAGATCAGGCAGGCTGCTCACTGAGGACTTAAAGTGGCTGATCGGGGATGTGAATTCACAGCTGCCTCTTATAGCCATCAGGATGTCTGGGATAGGCAGGGGTGGGAGAGGGGTCCTGAGTGGGACCGAGCTCTGGGGAAGTGAGGGAAGCAGGACACCTTGCTGGGGGTTGTACTCGTTATCCGTGATGAGGCGGGCCAGCCCGAAGTCAGCAATCTTGCACACCAGCCGCTCCCCCACCAGGATGTTGGCAGCCCTCAGATCTCGGTGGATGTAGTTCATGCGTTCCATGTAGGCCATGCCTGAAGCTACCTGGAAGGGGCCGAGTGGAGAGATGGGAGCTCACGTGGGCTCACAGCACCTCGGCCTGTGTGAGGGCTGAAGGACCGTTTGAAAAATCCCCTCTCTCTCCAGATGGGGACACTGAGGCTTAGAGAGAGGCAGTGCCCTGCCTCGGGGGTCACAGCAGATACAGCGGGAAGGCCGCACTCCCAGGGGCAGGCTAGGTGTTCCCGGGCGGAGAAATCTGTGGAAGGATAACAGGAAGGAGGTCTGGGAGACCAAGGCTGCTGGTCCAGTTTACCTGGGATGCCATGTCCACCAGTTGGGGCAGCCTCAAGTCCCGGGCCTCCCCGCCCTTGAGGAACTCCAGCAGGCTACCTAGCAAGAGGAAAGCAGAAAATCAGAAGACGCAACGCCCTGCCTGCTTTCCCTCTGTGGGCTCCATGGAGGTTGTCTCTGCCTCCTGTCCCCAACTGGCTGGTCGTCTCACCTGGATCAGGCCCTGCCTCGGACACCGACTCTGCCCACATCTCCTGACCCTCCGGACGCGTCCCACTTGATTCTGCCCCAGATCCCAGATGCTGCCTTCCTTTGCCCAGCAGGCCCAACCCAGAAGCAGATCACCCGCCACACTTCGGAGGCTCCGCCCCTCTAACTAGGCCCCGCCCACAAGCTCCTCAGTACTTCTGCGCGTCCCCGCCCCTCCTTAAGACTCTGCACACGGTCCATGGGTCATCCATTCAACTAAACTTCGCCCCAGACTCCGCCCTCCCAGGCCCCGCCCCTCACCGTGGCACATGAACTCCGTCACGATGTAGATGGGCTCCTCCGACACCACTGCGTACAGCTGCACCAGCTTGTCGTGACGCAGCAGCTTCATGATCTGCGCCTCCTCCAGGAAGGCCTTCGGGGACATGGTGCCCGGCTTGAGCGTCTTCACCGCCACCTTCGTGGTGCCGCTCCACGTGCCTGCCGGGCGCCCACCTCTCTTCAAAACCCGCTCGCAGCCAGCCCAGTCCCTCGCCCCACCCCCGCTTGGGATCCTGGGACCTCCATACCCAGCCACACATCCCCAAAGCAGCCGGTGCCCAGCCGGTGCTCGAGAGCAATGGAACTGCGGCTGATCTCCCAGGCGTCCTTTGCCAGGCCCAGCGTCTGCGGCTTCATGGTGGTGCAGGCCGCAGTGAGCAGGTAGCACAGCCCATCATTCACTTCTGGGGTGGGGGCGAAGGAGGGCGGTCACGGGGGGGCCAGGACGCCCCCAAACTCCTCATCCCACCCCAGCCCAGGTCAGGCCTCAAGATCAGGTATAAATAGGGCAGGGGATTTAGCTCAGTGGCACCGGGCCTGCCCTGCAAGTGCAACGTCCTGAATTTGATCCCTGGTACAAATAAAATAAAATAAAATAAAATAAAATAAAATCAGATGTAAGTAACTAGGCTCCAGGTGAGGTCACGGGCCAGCAGTGGGTGAACATGTTGGCGCCCAGGGAAAGAAGTGGCACCCAGAGGGAAAAATGATCCCTATAAGAACTGTGACCTTCTTATAGGAGGTGGCCTACAATTGGGCCTTGAAAGATAAGATGGGATTCTGACAGGTGGAAATGGCATTGAACGTGCAGGCGGTGTTGTGGATGTGAGGTCCAGTGAGTTCCAGGGACTTTGTCCTTGGCTTAACCAATTAAGGTGAAAACTGGGTCACTGACTTTCACCTTCTCCTCAACCCCACAGCCAGTGCTTCGTCGGGCTAGGTTCATGCTGCTCCTACCAGCTTCAGAATCTGCTTCTACCTTTCTCCACCGCCACCGATTAAATTACCTCTCGGCTGGACAATGGCCAGTGCCTCTTAATGGTTCCCTTGTCAACCTTGCCCTGTGACATGCGAACTCCACCCAGCATTTGGAGTCCCTCAGGGATGTGCAGACCAGCCTCTGTCAGCACCCTGTGGTGGTGGCTCCCTGTCCTGGTGCCTTGGTGGGGCGGGAGACCCTCTAAATTCCAGATTCTGGCCAATTTCCCACTCAGACACTAGGGGGCACTACTTGGCCATGGGCTGCTTCATGCCTCAGTTTCCTCTGGACTCTACAGAGCAGGATCCAGGACTGGGAGGGGAACTCATACTTGGTTCTGACACTACCACTTTGGAAAACCTTTCCCTTCTCTGGGCCTTAGTCTCCCCAGTGGGACAACACACCAGCGGGTTCACTTAGGGGTCTGAATTTTGTCTCACCCATGTAGTGCTGCACCAGCTCCTGCACGGACACAAATTGGGCCCGTGTGGTGATATAGTAGCCACCTGTGTCCAGCTTGCGAATCTTGTAATGCTTTACATGATCGCCTCTGGTCTGGTCCCAGTCACGGATGGACAGGGAGTAGGCACCTGTGGGGAAGAGTACTTTGGATCCACAGCCACCCTCTCCCTCATTCTGGTAGCAGGAAGAGGCCCTTCTCACAAGCTGGAGACTCTTTAAAGGTCACATCTCTAGAACCCAGAGTCAGTCTGAGATCTGTCTCTCCTGTTGATCCCAGTCTTGGCCCTGATCCAGTCAACTACCTGCCAACCCTAAACCCACACGGGATGGCTGGGTCTCCCAGTTGCCAGGGGCAAGTGATGCTGTCCCCACCTTTGGTGGTCTCACTCTCCCGGATGAGGAAAGCTCCCTGGGGGTTGCCTGGCGAAAGCAGCTGCCTCTCTGCATCCTTCCTCCTGATCTTTCCAAAGTACCACCTGTTGGGAAGGGCAGGCAAGAATCAGGTACTCTTCCTTCAACCCCGAACTCAGCCTCCTGAGCAGTCTCCTCACAAGCCAAGATTCAGTTTCCTTACCTGTAAAAGAGGGCTCACATACAGTTCCTGCTTCAGAGCCTGGGTGTGAGGATCAGGGAAGCGGGGATTGCCTGGCGTACAGTGGGTCCCCAATAAAGGTTAGCTTTCAGTGCTTTGGGTGTTTTGAAATAGCTGGAAGCCAGTGACTCGTGACCTCATCAGGGTGCCACAGGTCTCTTGGTCCATCTCACTGGAGCCCTCCATGTACTCATTTTATAGATAAGGAACTTGAGATTCAAAGAGGAAAAGTGTCCTGCCCAGGAGGCTGGCTGATATGCTCCACCTAAACTCCTCTGCCACCCACCTTGGGTCTTTATTCACCACCCCAGGCCATCTTTCAGATCCCTATCCCACCCCTGGCTCCCAATTCTTTCCTCCTCTGCTTTCTAGAACAACAACTTATCTTGCTTCTCTTCCCCTTTCTGACTATTCCTGCCCAGCTCTGAGTATTGCTTTGCCCTCACTCATAAATTGAGAATGTTGTGCTAAGTCTCAAATTCAACCTCAGGCTTTACTCATTCTACTTTCTCTTGGGGGTTCTTTCTGGGATTGAAGTGCACCTCTAAATCAACTATGCAAGTACATGGGGTGATTGAAAATAACAGTGAATGTTTAATTTTTTTTTTTTTCTTTGAGACAGGGTCTCACTATGTAGTTGAGACTGACCTGGAGCTCACTATGTAGCCCAGACTGGTCTCAAACTCACAGTGATCCTCCTGCCTCAGCCTCAGCCCGTTCACTGCCTTTTCTAATCACCCTCATACATTGGAAGAGTTGAAGTGACCACAGGTGCTATAGAAGACTCAGATATCATGTGATCAGTAAACTGGCCTGTGACTAGCATGGGCTGAATTAAAATGCGCATAATTTTCAAATCAAGTGGTGCCGAAGTCTCAGTGAACTCTGCGATGGCCAGTCCACACCTGAGTACTGGGCACAATTAGTGAAAGAGAAGAAAGCATTGGCAAATGGTGTGTGCAAGAGGGGAAGGAGGAACTGTCAAAGGACTGGATAGACAGGACACAGCGCTAAGTTTTTCAAAGCTTTGCCTTCACCCAGACTCATGACTTCAGCCTCTTCCTTAATAATCAATACGATAAGAGCAGGACTTATTTTGTGTTAGGCTCTGCTTTGTATAACATGCATTCATTTAATTCACATTACAAAGCTGTGAGCTAGGTACTATTAACCCCCATCAGACAGTTGAGGAAATTGAGATACCCGGTGGTTAAGTGACTTGCCTGAGGCCGCGCTGTGATGCCAGAATAGGAACTTGAGCTGTCTGCTGTAGGGCCTGAGCTCTTAACCACAACACTACTCTTAACCGCAAGGTTGCCCCGAGTACCTCTCAGATATCGTGACCCTGCACCCAAGGTGTGGACACAGCATGAAGCCCCAAACCTCCAGCCCTTCCCACATCACCCTTCCTCTCCATTCCTCCTCCCACCTCCCCAGACTTAAGGCCACTTGTGCTCTGGACCCTGCCCACTTCCTTCTGCTCAGGGAAGCCCCTGCCCCAGCGCGAGAGCAGCCCTCACACACCCACATCGCTTCCTTTCTTGCCATCACCACTGTGCTCCTCTCTCGAAATCGTGCTTCACACTTGAGGCTCCACCTCCTCACCTCTCCCTCCCTCCCTCCCAGGCTCTGCTGTCTGGCCTCTGCCCCTGCTCCACAGGAGCGATCGCTCCTCAAGCTCAGCCCCGTTGTCAGATCCAGTGGCAGCCCCTGACACTTCCTCTCCTGTTTCCTGCACCTTCTCATCATCTTGGCTCTTCCGTGTGGGCCTGGCTTAGCTTTCCTCACTTACCCAAGGGCTCCTCTTCCTGCAGGGTAGCTTTTTTCCAAGCTGGGCCCTAGGGCTATCTCTTTCTCAATTCCCTCCCTCTTTCTTACCCTTCTTATGCGGCTTTAATTTTCCTGTCTACTTTGATGAGTCCCAAATTTCCGGCAGCCCAGGTGTATCAGCTACAAGAAACACAGCACACAAAGGAGTCTTGGTGCCAATTAGGAAAATGTGCCCTTCCCCTAAGCTAATTCAGCAGCATGTCTGGGCATGGAAAGGGAGGTGGCTGGGCATGGGCTGAGCACCTCCCAGTCCAAGAACAATCTAATCTCACTGCTGGCAGCCTCCTCTGCCTAGGGGCTCCTTTCACTCCAGCAAGTCCCCCTCCAAGAGCCCATGAACTTCTGTCTGCTCCTGTGTCCTCCACCTTAGCAGTTAGTCCCACCACCCACTCAGCCCAAGACTTCAGGTCATCCTTGGTTTCTTCCACTGCAAATTCTGCCAAATCCCTTCCACTCTTGCTTTCCTCATAAAGGTACGGTACAAAGGAGGATAGAATGTTTTTCCTAAGGTCTTGGGGATCAAACCCAGGACCCCATGCATGCTAGGCAAGGACTCCACCACTTAGCTATGTGCTCAACCCTAAGAATAGATCTTAAAAGACTTTTATGAGATTCAGTTTCTTCGTATGTAAAAGGAGGACACTAATAAAAGTAGGTAAAGTACCTGTTACAGTGTCTCAAAGCTCCTGTAAATGGTAATTCCCTACCTGTCTTTTTTCTGGTGCTGGAGATTGAACCAAGGCCTTGTGCATACTAAGCAGGTGCTGTGCTACAGACCAGCACTCCCCACCCTTCCCTGGCTCTTTAATATCATTTATTTTAAGTATTGGTTCCTTAAATTTATTAAACCTTGTGCATACTGTGAGGTTGTGGTTGCAAAATATAGTAAATGTTTACATTTTTTAAAACATCACAGTAGCCAGGTGTGGTGGCGCACGCCTGTGATCAGCACTGGG